CTATGGATAAAATCAATCAAATTCACTTTTATATCGAAGTCCTATGGTTAAAATCAATCATATTCACATTTATATCGGAGTCCTATGGATAAAATCAATCATATTCACATTTATTTCGAAGAATGACGCTAGTGATATATCGTGATACTATTGATAGAACGATATGAATATTGTGCTATTGGTACATTTCAATTTTGTGACAACAACAATTTGGCTCTTCAATATTTTCCCCTAGGGGGTAACCGCGCTTTTAAATATATAGAAATATGAACAAATTCAGGAGATTTCAACGAATTCAAGAGCTATCGAGAGATATGAACGCAAATTTACATTTTTGGGAGATATTGTCAGATATTCTGATCTAAAAATAATTCTGGATGTGGGCTTTGGTGGATCTTTAGGATCATCAGAACCGCTCCCAGTTCTGGAAGTGGGTTTTGGTGGATCCTCAGGATGGACCAGACTATGGTTTGACAATGCCCTGGCCCATCCTGAGAGTCCACTTCAGAACTGGGAGCGTTCTGATGATCCTGAGGAACCACCAAAACCAACTTCCAGAATTGAATACTTTGAGATATTTCAGTTTTAATCAGATTTTAAGAACAAAGTTAATGTTGATGGATAAAAAAGCGTGGTTTCCCCCTAGATTTTCCCTCAAGTGTAGACATCTAAAATATCAAAATATAGTTTTTCCTCAAATGTAGACATCTAAATATCAAAAGAGGAGAGCTCTATATTTGAGGGAAAATATTAAAAAGACAAATTTTTGTAGTCACAAAATTGAAATGTCCCAAATAGCATGATATTCATATCGTACCTCTTTTTTGACCACATTTATTTGAAGCGTCTCAAACATGGTAAGTTTCTTTTCACATATTTTAAAAATATTTTATTTAAAACTTAGAATATTTAAAAAAATTTACTAGAATAAATGTGGTCAAAAAAGAGGTTATGTCAAGTATTAAATTTTCGTTGATATTTGGTACTAGATTTTAGTACTAGTTTTAGTACAAATCTAGTACTCTTGCACAGTGAACTTATTGTTCAAAATTAGTTTAATGTACATAATCCACGGATAAATAAATAAATAAAACACACAATAAAAAATAAAATAAAACATTTTTTTTTAATTATACAAATCAAGAAAAAACCATTTTTTCGGTTTTTCATTGAAACATTTTCTTTTCAGTATATATTGTATTTTACCATTTGTACTCTAGCAAGTACTTGTACTCTAGTATTTACAAGAGTATTTTATATAATATAGTGGAATATATTGGTGGCATATTTGAAAAAAGTGGTTCATATTCGTATACGAATATAAACCAATGTGTCGCAAATATTTGTCAATAAATCACGACTATATGCACGCAATCTCCCCCTAGTACAATTTCGAATTCGTTTATTTCATTTAATTTTTTCTTCTGTTGAATAATTGGAATTCTTAACAAATATTATGTTAAGTGCTTTAAATTTTGAATTGTTTAGCAAATTCAAGGACATATGACTTCATTGAATGTTCAATTGATTCATGTTTTTGCATCGGCCATTTTCTTGTTAGAATATAATCTCCGGCTCCCAAAGTGCTTCTTATTGCTGTTTGAACTCTTGATTGCATGCCATTTGCGTTGGTGCTGTCGAAAAGTTTGATTTGATCATTTCCAGCCAAAAGGCTTGTATAAATAATTTTCAGCAATGAGTACGTCAATTTTATAGAGTTTGCATTTTCGATCTGAACCCTGTCCCTATCCTGATATGCCACGGAATTGCTATTCAAATAAAACTCCCATCAATAAATTGGAATATTATGATGCACATTATATAATTGTCTTACACCATCAATTGGGCTAACTCTGTAGTAAAGCCCACAACTGGATTCGCATCAGGATAAATTGTGTTATTGATACCATTAATTTTCATCACTTCGCCAATTTCAACAGCGTGAATTTCGAAAAATGTCTGTTGCGACTTTTGAACCACTAGACTCAGATATTTTCGCTTGATTAGTGCTTGTCGCAACTTTAAAATATTTTTAACATCATTCCTGACAGCACTTCGGTTAACACTAGACCAATTTAAAATAATTTAAAAAATGTAATGCCTCTTGTAATAAGGGCTCCTTATTACCTGCGACTATTTACGCTCATCAAATAAAGCAAGAAGATCTTCTCTAGAAAATTTACAAATATACAATCGGATGCATTTCCAAGTGTCTCAATTTTACGCATATTTTGTTCATCTCTGGAAGCAAAAAAAGGCATTTATCCAATGAAATATTATTACCAAATGATAATTAATTATAAAAACAGAAAAAAAACTTAAGAACAAAATATACTAAACAAAAATTTTTACACACTTTTATTGTAGCGTTTTCACCATGAGAAGAGAAACTATACTTACTCCAATGATAGAGCGATATGTTGTTTGAATTTCATGTGAAAGTTTTGAAAAACTATATCAAAACTTTCGTCATTCCAATCGAATGCATTATCAAGTTGATGAAGATCCAAATAAACTTTCATAATATGCTTCATTTCATTTGACGTTATAACGTCTGGCACACTGAAAAAAAATTAACCGAAAATTCGAAACCTTCTACAATAGTTTACAATCGAAGACAACATACCGATTTCGAATCATTAAAACCAACTTCAAGAGAACAGTATTGATTCGATTGAAATAATTTCCCGGTCGGCCAAGGTTTTTTTCGATTTTTTCCATTAAACGATTGCACATGTCAATGCGATTTCTGAAAATTTGCATACTTTGTTTAATGGCATGAAACAATTTTAGAAAAAAAAAAGAGAAAACGTTAGTAAGTACTTGTGGCTAACGAAGATTATTGGCTTATAATCGATATAATCGGGATGCTCAAGATAGAATTTCAATTGTTTGGAACGGATAACGTGTTGGTGTTCAATATAAAATTCACTAAATAAATTATCTATCACTTTTGTATCCAAATCAGACTCTAAAGTTACATGATAGTAGACCATAAATTCGGTGTAGAAATTTGCAATGTCGGTAATTAGTTTTTCGTCTAGTGCTGGTGTTCTATAAAAAGTAGTATACATTTTTTTTGTTTAATAAATAAATGTTCAATGAATATTTTTGACGGAATTTTTTAGATATATCGTGTGTATACTTTGAGCATAAGATAGCTGCTTTCAGAACTTGTTCAAGTACGAATGTACCCTTTGACATTCTTGCAGTATCGACCATTTTTCTGAAAATTGTTTTAAAGTCATATTATTCCCTTCATCGGGACTTTCATTTTGATTAATTTGTATCATTTAATGAAGAAGCCTTTATACATGCTGATTTTTCAGACATTAGGTTTGAGCTATGGATATAGCGGCTGCTATTTATCTCGTTTTAATGCATTTATGCATATTGTGCGCTATTTGCTACATCTCTCTCCTACTCACATTCAAATGTACAAAAGAAAAGTAGGCTATGATATTCCTACTCGGTGTTACACACAGCACACGAATTATAGCACCTATAAAATAGCAGCCGCTATATGCATAGCTCGAGCCTAATGTCTGTGATTTTTACATGCTGAGCATCTTATTATTATATTATTTGGCATTACTTCAGAACAGTGTCATTCAGTGCGAATAACGAGAAGCCTTGAAAAAGTTGTTATACTACTGTTCAAAGTTTTTATTAAGTTTCTTTCCCTCGATTCTACATTTCGAATGCTAACCATCAATTGAACCGCTTAGAATAAAAGTAGATAATGGTAGAAAGTTAAAAAAAATCTCAATCATAAAGTGTTATGAAAATAATACTCAATCAAGGAAAAAAGTGAAAGTAAAAGTCGATGAAGAAAAAAATTGAAAATAAAATCACTTTTTTTCTTGATTGAGTATTATTATAACTCAATTTATGATTGAGATTTTTTTTCACTTTTTTCTTGATTTTTCTAGTTTACCATTTAGTGGTGTTCGAGAATTGAGAAAAAAAATGTTTTTTCTTTCACTTTTTGTGCTCTATATCGAGTCTCCGAGAGTTTCATATAATCTCGCCTTGCAATAGCCAAATGATGCCTATTGATTCAATAACGATTGGTATTCGCTTACTATTCAATAGGCATCACATAGCAACTTTATATGAAACTCTCGGAGACTCGGTATAGAGCACTCAAACAGTGAAAAAAGTCCAGATCGTGATTTAGATGATAATGAATGCGATTTTTTTCATTCTGATTTCACCAGGTGATATAGAAAATTGAGTAGTATTTGTAAATCGAAGAATTTTTTTTTTAATTATTTTTGCATTTTTCGAGATTTTTTACTATCTACATGGGAGGTTTGTATGAAAAACACGGAAGACCGCTGAAATGGCACTGTTTTAGGTCCGTATATATTTGACCATAGGACAAGTATAGTTGTCAGACATTGAATGGCGTTGTATCTATCCTATAAACATCGAACTAATGAAAATGTGTGGTGGTTCATGTCTTATGTAATATACAATAGTGGAAATTTATCCAATGCACAAACCATTTCTTCTAGTTCCTCACCATTTCTTCTAGTTCCTCTTACATTAGTGTAGGGGGATTCTTCTAAAGTTCAGAGAATGACGTTTGCATATAAATACATATAAAAGACACTTTTAGGCTCGTCCTATGTATTTGACGTTTGCCATTTCAGTCGTCTTCCGTGTTTTTCATACAAGCCGCCCATGTAAATGGTGAAAAATCGCAAAAAATGAAAAAAATAATTAATTTTTTTTCTTCAATTCTCAAATACTATTCAATTTTCTGTATCACCTGGTGAATCATAGTTGAAACCCATCCATCAAAATGTTCAATCAAGGGAAAAAAAATCAATAAAAATCATGTTAAAACAATAAACCAACATTATTTCAGTCATTTCGAAATCACACCTGAATCTCATATAAAAATGATTCAACATTGAGGTGGATCAAAATCTTTATACCTGATCAAACTATTGATTTGTGTGGGATAAATATGTGCGAGTAAAAATATGAGCATATTATTCTCTATTGAACCTTCTCGGGTGTTAAATGCATTTTCAAATACCAACCAATCCACATTAGTCACGCTGAAAAGAATTGAGACACTTCATCACAAATCATGTTCGTTAAAATTTATCATTTAAGCACCTAATTTGCTTTGGATTAAAAATCACATTATACACTCCATTTGCATTCTGATTGGCTTTATCTAAACTGCAATTGAAAAAGAAATCTGAAAAAAACCTCGAAAGTAATGGTTGAAATTTCAACGAAATTACGCTTCATTCATCAATTGGTTGAACTTTGGCCATTTCTGGATTACTTCATCTTTATAAGTGTTCATTATTTTATTATCGGGTGCATTATTAATACATCCACCATAGGAGGATGGCGGCACTGTCAATAGTAAATAGAATTTCATTACGTCAACATAATCGAGCCAACTGTAATTTATTAAAAGAATATTATAATGATCGTTGATTTAAAAATTTAAATGTTATAATTTACGTTAGATCTTCGACATTCATCTCCATAAGCACATTGTGAACTTTCTTCAATTGCCAATCAATTTCAATCAGTGCCACTTTTGTATCTGTTCTTTTCAATCGACCAGCAATTGATTTTAAAATATTGATTTGATTCTCCAAATACTCGCTGCAATCAACAACAATTACTACAATTACTCAACAAAAGAAGCGAAATTTATTGTTTTACCGATTGGCTTTGGCGACGAATTCAACGTTTTGTAGTATATGAAATTTGGTTTTTTCAACTTCGTATCTTGTTTCTATGGCAGATATAGCATTCCGTAAATCGTTTAAGGCCAATCGATAGTCTTTGTAAAATTTCGAAGCCATAATTCTGTTTTTTTTTTTAAATAAAAAATGGTTTATTCGAATGATTTGTTTAAAGAAATTTTTTTCACTTACTCATTCATTGAATTCATTTTTAGATGACCTTTTAAAAACAGTGTACACAAATTTTTTTCATATTTGTACGTGTCTAATTTTCTTTCAAATCCATTTAAAGCAAATCGATTGCCAAATTTTTGTAGCAAAAGTGCAGAATCAAAAAGACTAAAATTGTGTCAATTTCATTCGAAAATAATAAAACAATGATTATGTTATTCGGTACATACTTTAGTTTGGAGTGAAGATTGTTCTCGTGATGTTGATAGTTTCTCAGCACCGCCGAAAAAGCATCGAACATCATAAGATTCATATGAGTGCCATATAAAATGTAAGCATGTAAAATGATTAAAAACAATTTCGTAACATTTTCCGTATTGATAAGGTCTGGTGTGCTAAAATGAAGCCAAAAAAAATGAACGTGGCTCGTGGAATATTTGTTACAATTTTTCCGACAAAAATCCATTTCTTACTAATTCGGTGCGATGTCTTTGTTTCCTATGAATGCAAAACCAGTGATAACAAACATGATATTCTCATAATATTCGAGGTTGTGGTCAGTTGTCAGAGTGTTTTTCTCAGCACGAACATCTTTGGGGAATCGCGTAAACGACGGCGAAAGATAATTCATCGTGTCACTGAAATAATTTCATAGCCATTATGTCCAATGAGCTCAGGCTAACAAAACCGTACTTACTTAAGTCGTGTTGGAATATTGTTATGTTTCATAAACTTTTCGAATTCTCTTCTTATATTTTTGAATTGAATACGATTTTTAGCAAATGCATTCACAACAAATCTCATGATATGAACTAAATACTTTGACCTAGAACATTAAAAAACATATTGTATATGGATTCGAGAATGTTGTAAACGTGGCAACATTATCAACGTTACCGAATTTTTTCGTCTAGTTGTCGTGCCGTTGATATGCTGAGCATCAAGTTAATCTCAATCTCCAAATCGATTTTTTCATTATGAATATCGACAAGTGCGATGTCATTTGTTAAGCTATTGAGATAACCACGAAAAGCCATTTCGGGTGAGATTATTTTGGCCAATTTCTTAAAATTGGTGTCCGCAATGCTCGATGCCATTTCATTTGTTTCCAACTCAAAGTAAGCATTGTAAACGAACGCAGCGTCATTTGTACACGAAGCACTTCAATACAAAAGAAAATTGAAGAATTACAATGTTTTGCGAATGTCGTAAATAAAATTCGTTTACACTTCTTTTCCGCATTTTTTCTCCAAATACTTCAAAGACTTTTCAATGCTTTTTGTTACGTCAGAATTCTTGGGATGATCTCCTTTAAGCCATTTCTCGATTGGTTCAACCTTTTTCCGAAGTTTATCGCTGAAACAAAATACATATATTCAGTTTCGATTGACAAACATCATGTGAAAATGAAAATGTGACATTGTGATGTCAAACGAGTTAATGTTTCAACGTCTTACTGCGAGAACAGATACGAGTATAATGATAAGATTCACACGTATGATTTACATCACTTTTGTAATGTTCGCTTCAGTTGTTTCACTATTCTATTTGTATGCTACTCCCTATACGCTACATTCAATCACTTTTACTTTGTTTTCTTATACTTTTACTTTGTTTTCTTACCAAATAATTTTTGTTTGCTTACTCAGAATGTCGGCCACCACATCCAATGCTAAATTGGATATAAAGTACGAAAATTTGTCCAAAAATCAAATATCTTTTCAAAGCATTCATCTTGAACGAAATAATAGCAACTGCTGAACAAATAAATCAGTCTGTTTTCTTTTAAAGAGATGGATTTGCTTCGAAGAATAACTCTGGAACAAAGACCTTGTGTTCTTCGATCGTACATAAATTTGAATGCATTTGAATTTCATTGAAAATTTTCGCATTTTTAAAATCCAAATGATTAATAATCGATTTCATCATTTTATGATAATTTCATTAAGACAAGCTGACATGTTTTCCCGGCTCTTGAAATGAAAGTTGTAATACGATAATACATTACCACGAGAATATATTGTAGTCTCTATATATTAAGAAAATTCCCTCACCAAGCGCTAATCTCTTTGAATATTTCGCTTGATAATTATGGCAATAGCAACAAAAATCGGTGTCATTTCAATCATTAAAGCGTGTGCACTGTTACGATTATTTATTTGCGGAATATAAATCCAGTTTTGCTTTATTATCTAATCGATAGTCAACTATTGTGTGCAATTATAATACACATTCGACAATTATCATATTGCGTTTCTACATTGTATAAAAAAATAATTAAATACGACTTACTTACAGTGTGTATTACTTATAGTTTGTTTTAGTTTTAGTCTGTAGTTAGTACTACTTTGTAATAAATCTGAAATTAAAAATTCAGCAATCAACAGCAAATCAAGGAGCTATAATTATGACTGAATTGACTTCTTAGAGTCTCATGTAAATTATACGAGTCAATAAGGGTCGAATTATTTGCGAGTCGCCATATGATTTTCAAGTAAATGTAAAAAGTCTCAATGGCATGTTTGAAGTGAATGTCAAAGTTATAAATTTTTATTGATAGAAAAATTCTGATTAAAACATTGCGTCGAAATGGTAAATAAATATTTTGTTTTCATATTAATATTAAGAGTGGTTTTAATAAAAAATGTGATTAAAAAAAAATCAATGTTTTAAATGATTTAGTTTGCATGTTGGAATCCCAAAAAATGTTTGAGAGAAACGGACCTTTCTTGCCGAACAAGTTTATCTCATATTGCTAGGGGACATTCGTAGCAATTCTAGTAAGCTAGTTTTACTTTCGTATTCGCTAATCGCTTAGTAGTATTACTAGTGAGTACACTAGTGCTACTAGTAGCTGCTAGTTTTTCTAGTGTTTTGAAATTACCTAGACGTATCGTATGATACATAAAAGAAACAAGTCGCTTAAGTCGCTTGTAAACGAACCAAGTGAATAGCGGAGACGCACGATAGCGAAGTGAGTGTATTGCGGCAACGGATAACAACGTTCGTTGTCGCTATTCCTTCACTTCGTTTTCGTGCGTCTCCGCTATTCACTTGGTTCGTTTGCAAGCGACTTACGCATGCTACAATATATTTTACATGCCTCAATTCATTTGCTTTGGACTATAATACGCTAGTGCTTGCTAGTCGCTGCTAGTTGCTGCTAGTTTCACTAGTTTTTCTAGTATGAATGTCCCCTAGTCATATTGAAATAGAAATTATAGTGAGGAATCGTAAGTATTGTAACATTATATTGTCTACACCCAAGGCTGATATTGCGGAATATGCAAACGAAAATCGTGGAATATTGGCTAGATCTTGCTATAAAAATAAATTTCCAGTTGCGACATTAATGAGGCTGAAGATGAAGTTTATCTGATGAACACATGGTTTTCGAAGGCGTTTGCTATGAATAAAGCAATAAGATTTTACATCAGCATAAAAAGAAAATTCTATAATTTTAATTATTTACAGACATTATATTGAGATATTTTCAGCCAGCTAAATCAGCTGAAATAGAGTGAAAACAATAGAAGTGATTGTTATATTTCACTTCCATTCTTACAAACAACATAACAATCACTTGTATTGTCTTCACTCCATTTCAGCTCCTGACGATAGCAGCCTGAGCTGATTCAGCTGGCTGAAAATATCTCAATATGTCTGAACATAATAAATTTCCCTTCAAATTTGACATAAGCCCCTATAGGGTGCTCTGCAGCATCAAATATAGTTCATGTCAATGTCATCATCTACGGAAATAATTTAAAAAGCACAACGAAAGCAATTACTTTTATAAAATTTAATCTGTTGATGACTATGAACATTTTTGCGGCATGCTTTTCTCCAGAGAGAACTATCGGAATGTTGAGAATACATTACACATGAGTGGATATGTATGATGTCGTCATAGATTTGAAGTTTATTTCAGTGCGAATATAGTTTTTCTCCTGGGAAGTTATCTTCAAAACAAAACTGATACGGCAACATATCAACATCAGAAACGTTTCATGTTCTAGAATTTTCTTTGTCACCATAGCAATTTTTCTTCTGTTGAAATGATTTCATGAACTATTTTTTTTATATTTGCTTGACATCACATGGAGATAACAACGGTTCAAAATAGTCAGCAAGCATCACGCTTTCTTTGACTCAGATGTTTGGAAATTTGATTGACGATTTTTCGAAATTTCACACACAATTTTATATCAAATTTAACCGAAAAAAGCGTGACATTTTTTCAGTAAAAAAACCAAAAAAAAAAAACGTGATGCTTGTTGATAAATTTAGATGTTTTAAACACTTGTTGACTATTTAGGCCAAATCAAAGTATTGGATCATTTTAATCTGCGAAAAAAAATAGTTCAGCAATATTTTAAAATTAAATTTTCTTCCGATTAAAGAAAAGACTTAATTTAAAATTGATAAAGATATGTTTTATTTTTTTATTCAATTGAATCATGAAGAATTTTTGATTTCATGTCGTATTTATTTTTTGTTGGATTTGTTTGTTTCTTGCCATGCAAAAATAAAATGTAAATTGTTTCTTAACAACAAAAGGATTACATTATAATTGCTATTTTGTTTGATAATTTATAAATTAATTGTATTTAATTCTCTTTTGATGCTTAGTCTTATTTCTTAGGAACATAAATTCATTCATTTTTCGATTTGAAAAAATCTAGTTTTGTGTTAATGTTGAAGATACGGTTTCGGTATTTGTTTGTGCGTTTGAATTGGTTGATGGCATTAATGGTGTTGACTGTGGCGTCGATGGTTTCACCGGGAATCGATTCAAAATAGAGGTTGGCTGAACTTTTGGCCTTGGAATGGTGCGCATTGATATCGGCATCAATTTCGTTGAATCAATGTTGAATAGATTTTTTAAATTATTGATCGTTGGCCCATTGATATTAATAACTGGCATGCCAAATACTTCCGTTGATTTTTCATCGCGAATATTAGTAATTGGCAAAAAATTGGTAAATCCAAGCGATAACATTTTCTTGCGAATATTTGAATTGTTAAAGTTTACAATTGGTATGCCGAATTCGGGCTGTGATTTTATTTGGCCTGCATGCATTCGCCGGATATGGGCTCTAACTGCCTCCGACGATATAAACCGTAATGAACAAATGGTGCATTTAAATTTACTGATGCGTGATATTTTGTGCACATCTTGCTCATGTTCACGCAACGATTTTAAATTGGCGAATCTCATTTGGCAATTTTTTACGGAGCACTTGATTTGTGTGGTGCCTGGTTTTGGTGCTATCTTTTCTGGCCGTTTGAATGATTTGAACGATGGAGTATCATCATCATTTGATAAATCAATTGTTTCTTCAGTTGCCGATGTAGCTGTAGCCAATGGCGGGGTAACAACTTTCTTCTTCGATATGATACTTACTGAATTATTCATTTGTAATTTTTGTACAGCTGCTTCGGTTGTTGCATACGGCGTTTTATTCGAATCATCGGGTGTCTTCGGTTTTTCTAATAGTTTTGATGTTGATTTCACTGTAATACCACGATTTACCAATATATTTGCCATCGAATTACCATCAACTACTGGCGGCGTTTTATGTCTTTCAGTTGGTTGAATTGTTACCGATGGTTCTTTGTTTTTTACGCTGAGCGTTATTTGATCGTTGATTTGTATCGTTGTCGGTGCCGAGTCGGTCGATTGTTTTTTCGTTGTTGAATTGAGCGTAATCGCACCACTTTGTACCGATTCAATCACAGGAAGTCCTTCGGTTCGTGGTGCGTTTGATATAAATGGTCGATTTTCAAGGTCTCGTGCTCGAAACATTTGCTCGAAACGAGCCTTTTCTTGAGCTTGTTTTTGTTGTTGTTGTTGCTGCTGCTGCTGCTGATGCTGCTGTTGTTGTTGTTGTTGTTGATGATGAAGGTTGTGCTGTTGCTGTTTTTGTTGATGATGCTGTTCAATTGGACTCAGTGGCATTGCTTTCCTTTGGAGTGCCTGTTGAATACCAGAAGCCATATTTGGTCGGGTCGGACATGGAGGAAGATTTCGAGGTGGATGCATAAACTGTCCGTTCATCGGAGGAGGACGTTGGTGGTGTTGTTGTTGTTGCGAATGATGTATCGGCTGTTGTTGCAATGGAAATCGTTGCATTAACGGTCGTTGTTGAGACATAAAATGGTTCGTCATTTGATTTGGAGGTCGATTGAATGCATTCATGCTATCTCCATTCATTTGCGGAATATTGCCGGTTGTTTGTCGTGGATTGTACATATCTGGGCTCATTTCAAGAAACGGTGTCATGTTGACCGGTTGATTTGGATTAATTCCATTTGGTCTGACCATTTGTGATGGTGACATAAATCGATGCATTGGATAATGTGATGGATGTCTTGATGACGATGGCATTGGAAAACGTGGTCGGTTTTGCATTTGATTTATGTTTCCAAATGCCCGAACTTGATTTTCCATTTGATGTATTGGAAGTACCGCCGGTTGGCCATACATTGGTGGCGGTGGTGGTGGTTGATGTTGTTGTTGTGACGGCAGACTTTTTGATTGTGCTAACAAGTGTTCGAGTCGACTTGTTTGCGGTGGACGATATGGATGCAATGGATCAACGGTCATTTCTTGAATGGGTTCAAGCATCGAAGCAAGTGAATAATTTCGAATTCCATGGCCAGTTAGACGCTGATGTTCATGTAAGAAATTAATATCAGGATATTTTTGATTGCATATATTGCACGTATGTGCCAAACGATCGATTGATATAAATTCATTTGGTTCGGCATCCAATTCATTAGATTCAGGTGGTTCGTTTGGTGTTTCAAGTAATTGCTTTAATATTCGGGCGGCTGATTCTTCATTCAAAGCATCTTCGGCAAACTGATGTAGACCATCGAGCGTTGGGCACTCATATTGAATTCGATTTTCTGACGGAACTGAAACCATTGCATTTTCAGGCAGACTCGTTCGAAATGGCGGGCTTGGTGGACTTTGTTTTATTTCTTCCGCTCTGATCACACGAATGCGAGGTCCATTGGTTGTTAGTGGTGATGTTGGCTCTCTTATTGGATTTAATACATCGGAAGTTGTTTCTTTTTCATTTGGATTTTGTTGGGAAGTTTCGGTACGTGGAATTTTCAATTTAATCTTTAATACATCGGTGTCATTCGACGGTCGTTTCGTAGCGCCATTACAACGGCTAAGATATTCTTTATAGTATGGATTGTTTGTGTTCAATTCAGTTAGTTTTACCGATGGCAAACTAATATGTCTTTCTAAATGTTTTAACCAATCAGCGGTATGCTTAAAACGTATGCTACATTTAATGCAAAAACGTTTTTTATTCTTTTTCGATCGAACCGGCGAATTGCCTTCCGAGGACGATGAATGCATACTACTCGGTGATGACATCGGTGGAATGGCAATTCTAAGCTTTTCAATGGGCTGATAAACGATATTTGAAACGCTTTTTATTGGGACGGATTCGATTGTTTCTACATCATTCGTATCATCGATATTAACATCATTATTTTCATAAGTATCATCAGTCGAGATCTCATTCACAGTTTCACTATTGAGTCCATCCAGGCATGAATCTTCTAAAATTCTCTGCAATTCACTGTCATCGTTAAAATCTAAAAAAAACACAGAGAATAAAAAAAACGTAAGTCAAAATGATTTTCATTCAACAGTTTTCTCATTTATATACACATACAAGTAACCATAGATAAATGAAAAATCGTAAAAAAGTGAAATCAAATCCAAATGTTTACCATTTTGTTCGCTAAATGACAAATTAGATGGAAAATTATCAAATCCCTTCAATGTTTCTGATGCCATTTTAATTGAATGAAAACCACAAAAGAAATCCCCGTTTTAATACCAAAAAATCATTTGAAATTTTGTCAGTCAATTATCGTCTCAAAATCTCTTTGGAAAATCGAATTCTGTTTGTTCAAGAAAAATTGAAAAAGGAAAAAAGAAACAAGCAAAAAAAACATTAGAATTTGTGACAAAGCCAAATGTGATATTTAGTAAACAAAAAAAATTATTCGTTATTATACACACAGCTTTGATATTATACACTTTGAATTAAATGCACATATAATATTTTCTTTTAGTTTTACACTATAAAATTAATGTGGCATTCACCTTTTATTTTGTAATGTTAGAAGAATTTTCTTGTGTTGTAATCACATGCAATAATAAACACATATTTTTAAGTTTTACGTAAATTCTTCAAACCAAACTGTGTAACAATTTATTTTTGTTTACTATATAGACAGACGGTGGTGCTGTGCTTATACATGTGCAACGTTTGAGCGTGCAAATATGTCTGACACACGTTCAAAGGCGACGTATACGATACGGCGGGCAATCGGTACAAAAAATATATATAACCCAAGTAATGCGCATCGCACACCAACCGATTCAAATAAACGTTAGCAACAAAATACAAACACATATATCTAGACATATACACCGCTCACAAGACATTCTTTTTTCCTCATTCTCTCTTTGTTCGTAAATTGCTTTTTTGTTGTCATGTTACTCGATCTATCCATGCAATGTATAAATCTATATAACAGATATTCAGTATATAGAAACCATGAGGCGCACAAATTTTTAGAACATTTTGGGACTGAAATGGATGATTTAGGTTGGATTGATTAGGTCATTTAAATTGGATATGTTAAATCCTTGTTATTTATTCATTATTTTCTAAACCTACGAACGTCAGGTTATACAGCGTACAATGCGCATTGCGCACATCTGTTGATTTTTATAGTCTGACAAAAATGACTTATAACCCTCATAATTTTAGTTATTGCAAATATTGTATATCAGATAATGATTCAGAATTGTTCCAAGCATTTTTTTTTAAAATTCTGTTGGAAATTTGAATATTTTTCTATGATATGTTTGGTCTAGAAAAAATTAAAACCCCAAAATTAAAAAAAAAATCTATAAAAGATACTAGCAACCCATCTGGCAAAACTAGCAAATATTGTTTTTTTTTTTATATTTTCGGTCCATTTTCGTCTTTTGACAATAAAATATGCGTAATTACGGTCAAAATACGTATAATTTACCATAATGGTCGTTTGGGTGTGTTACCTATGATGACCCGTTTGGGCGCCAACCCCAGATATACATACATACTTTCTGTTTTATAGATATAGTTTGCAATATATTTAGGTATTATGAATTTAATTATTATTTTTAAATAGATCAATAAAAAAGTAGTAGACATTTTTCAAAAGGTGTTAAAAAAATGCTTGGAAAGGTCAAAATATGTAAATTAGTACTATAGTAGTTAGTATACTAACTAGAAGTCGTCAGAAAATTGTTTTTTGACAGAAGTTCGTGTGTGCACAATTATGACTGTTTCAGCGCAAAAAAATGCGTTTTACTTGTCTACTTTATAAAAAAAGGAAATTACAGAAACGAGATATCGTCATATTATTGTTATGAAAATAGGAAAGTCTGGTCTTTAGATATAGTTCATTTTTATTTGTTTGCTTTTGGCATTAATTCCGACGTCATATCCTGTACTTGAGTCATTAAAATATTGTTTTTATTACTTTTTGTTTTGAATGACTAATAAATCTCAATACATTCACAATGTGTTGGCATTACATTGTTGTGTACTCAGACGAAACGACCAGTACCATTTTTCAATTGAGGGGAGTCCAATGTAATGCAACAACTAAAAAATATAGTCGTACGCAGTTAAAAGAACTCTCTTCGCCATTGTATATAGAAAATTTATATTGAACCTACTTCCATGTATCTTATACGTATGAATTATACGTGCTTATTTATGTGTTTTATATCTTTGCAAGGTTCTATGTGTTCAATTTATATCTATCAATGCCATAGCTAGCAGGCATTTTTATTGCTGACGTCTGCGCCGCATTTTATTCGGTTCACATTTGATATCTTGGATACTGCTGTTCTGAAAACAGAACTTCGTTCATACGATATACCGCACTCCATATGATCAGCAAGGGAAATGACAATAAATATAGAAGTACCAAAAGGCATTTAATATCGATTTTTTTTTGCTGTACCAAAATGAAACCACCAGTAACGAAATGCTCTCGAATGAAAACGAATATATTTTTTCCTACAAAACACACATGTGTAGCTAGCTATACAGTTATATAGTGCAACTGTAAAAATATGGAAAAAATATCTATTTTGTTTCTCTTCGAAATAATGTCGATGGAATTTTTTTTTATGATAAGATAATTTTTTAAGGAACAGTTCAGAAAAGTTAATTCAAAAGTTTGACAAATGGCTATATTAAAAATCTAAAATAGGTGGCGCTGGTTTCTACGTGAATGTACAATTTAATTTTGTAGAAAGTGCAAAACACTAAATTCTTGGCTATATTTGCGACAAGAAAAATATATATACATATAGTACATGTATATTTTGTTTGAAATAAGGTCGTTTATTTTAAGTATAATATATTCAATTGAATTAATGTAATGCAATTTGTTTGTGAATATATTTACATAGATAAACTGTATTTTTGTGCAATATACACAGCCAGTGAATGGCTTCGAACTCTTAAATGCATTGATTTCATCAACTATATGTACTGTTGCTTTATTTCTGGCTGTTCTGGTTGCGAGCATTCGATCGATTTTTGGCCATTTTCCATTTAATACCGAGTCAACATGATATAGCGATTCGTTCAGCATTTTATATATGAAATTCAACGCCAATTTTCGATCTTTTTCTCTCTCCGTAATATATTAAACTTGTTTATATACAAGAAAGTTTAATAAATGTTATAACGCAAAGGTTTCGCTTACGATTTTATATTATATATGCGAATGATGTAGAAAGAAAATGTTGCCATGTTATGGTTAATGCATTGAGCGCTAAGCATACCGGCTAACGGCAAATCGAAATTTCTAGCTAACACACAGACCATGCCGTCCGTTCGTAATGATGATATTTCTATGAAATTGCTGTTAAAAGGAAAGGTTACATTTATCAAAGCATCTAGTAAAGCCACACACTGTGCTTTTTGGCAAATGTTTTACATCAGCTGCCACATTTTCCAGCTTGAAACCATTTATCTAATTTACTAATGCTCCCAGCATTTCGATGTTGCTTATGTGGAACCTTTCTTCGAAGAAAAATAACACGAACGCTATTCCATGGTAACATTATGTAAAAAGAAACCATTCGCACATCTGGCCTCTTTATATTCAAAAACAAAACTCATAGATTGCTTATGTACGTATATATTATAGACTTTTATGGTATATACAGACGAAAATTTATACGTCGTCATATCGACAAAATATCTTTTCACATTAAAACACGTGTGTTCGCAAGCAAGATATATATTTCCATGACCCCATTAAGTTTTAGTGTACTCTCTTGTATTTTTTATCAAACTTTTATATAAGTTTGTGAATTTTTTTTTTTGGTTATAAATTAACATGGGCGGTTACCCAGTTCCCGAGGGTCCTTCCAAAAAAAACTGGGAATGGGAACCCCCAAGAAATTTTCAGGGGACTACCAAGAGCTGATAAGCTTTTTTGCTCCTAAATTATTCTTATATTCTTTTTTTTTCGTAAGATTCTGTCGAAATTCTACTGAACTTTCGTAATATTTCTATCTTGATAAAATTTTCACACATACATTGAACCTTTGGGCATGAAACCTCCTACAGTAGCGCCACAAACGGTAGTGAAGATGAAGTTTTTTGAAATTGAAGAAAACAGCTTTCCAAACAGTTCGCTGCGATTTAATTTTTTGCATGAGATCGCAGTATCGTGCTTAGTTATACTTGTTGAATGACAAATCGATTATGACGCTATTGTAAATAAAAAATCATATAAAATTTCACGTACGTCTTCACATTAGCATCAATAGAAAATGTTAGAATAGTTTAGCTAACAAATGCGTCGTTTTTACATGTTTATATTCACATGTCTATAAAACTGACTTGGTTGCGTGGTTTGTGTTCGTCTCATTGTACAACAAACATTTGTAGAGATATATCGTAGCACATGCTTTCGCATGGTAGCAATAACGGTGTCATTAAATATACAAACTCGCGCAAACCTTTATCTGACCAATATATTTACTGTGATCTAGGCATACATTGCTATTTTTTGTGCAGATAACTTTATCTCATTACAGTGTCATTTTTGTGATCTCCACATTTATTTGCTATATTGTAACAAAGAAGTGCCATTATGTTAAAAATGTAACTGCGTCCTATTCCGTTGGTATTGATAATTTTCAACTAAGACTTTATTTTTGAACACTATAATATTCTATTCAACTGATAATGTTACTTGTTCGTATTTCGTTTGACACACAAATCCACAAAATATCTACGGGGTAACCGCGATTTTAAATATATAGAAATATAAACAAATTCAGGAGATTTCAACGAATTCAAGAGCTATCGAGAGATATGAACGCAAATTTACATTTTTGGGAGATATTGTCAGATATTCTGATCTAAAAATAATTCTGGATGTGGGCTTTGGTGGATCTTTAGGATCATCAGAACCGCTCCCAGTTCTGGAAGTGGGTTTTGGTGGATCCTCAGGATGGACCAGACTATGGTTTGACAATGCCCTGGCCCATCCTGAGAGTCCACTTCCAGAACTGGGAGCGTTCTGATGATCCTGAGGATCCACCAAAACCAACTTCCAGAATTGAATACTTTGAGATATTTGAGTTTTAATCAGATTTTAAGAATAAAGTTAAATGTTGGTGGATAAAAAAGCGTGGTTACCCCCTAGTAAAATATCTGATCAACAGTAAATTATTGTCAGATGTTAATTTCAATGTTGGTAAATTCTCTGATTATTTCAACTATTGTGCAGTAACATAAATTCGCGTTACTCTATACACTGTATGTCAGTTGATGTATAGTACTGTAGTAGCGCCACTTGCGAATGTACAATATTTCAAATAATAAACCAGATTCCCATAACCTGTTATCTAACCTCTAGCCGAACTTCATTGCCATGAGTTTGATCCTTTCGTTCATTTCAGTTCAATGAAAGAGTTAATCAAGTCGTCATCAACTGCCTACAGGGAGCCTTCAGAAAATTCAATTTATCTTAAAATTAAAAAAAAAATTAATGGTCAACTCACTAGGCATCTTATTCGCTATAGTTTTTCTGACATTTCGTTCGAATATTTGAACGCAATCTGACTTTCCGTTTCGGTAACAGAACCATTTTAGTGTGAAATTTTGAAAACCGAAGAAGCAAAATTATTGTTCACCGGAAAAAAAATTAAAATCCAAAAGTTATATATTTCCAGTGATCC